AAAAAAAAAAAAAAATTTTTTGTGTTTAAAATGTGTTATTTTGAGTACTCTATGTTATAGTTTTTTTTTTTAATTTGGTACGTCTATATCTCAAACCTTGTGTCCGTCCCAGATCTTAGCTTTAACCTGAAGAACTTAAGACTGCTTATACTCTTTTCTGATGTATTTCAGATCTCTCGCGAATTCCGCGAAGGTTTTTCGACTGCTTAATCAGCCAGCTTATATAAAAGATAGCAATTAAAGAATCATTCTAGCCTTACAAGACAGCATTTTAAACGTATTTAATGATCCATAATAGGACAGATTTATGATGTGTAATATACGAGCTCCTTTATTTATTACTTCAAACTACTTATTTAATAAACACCCTTCTGAATTTGTGATTGGAGGTAAATTTCGTAGATTCCGCCTTTGATTCTCCGCGAGTTTCTGGTTATCGGATTTTGAAATCGAAACTTCGAAACATGCCACATAATTTATAAAACTGTCGTTAATCTTTATTGTACATTATACAACATCCACTTAAAGAAATACAATGTCAGCTCAATCTGGTATCTCAGCCAGTGCAGAGCTATCTGAATCATTCAAGACTTTTATTGATAAGAAACAATCAATTTTATTAGCATATATCTATGATGAAGAAGTCAAGTTGTCAAATATTATTGAAGGTTCATCTTCATTAAAAAATGATTTCAATGAACTCAAAGATCTTGTTGATGATTCAAAACCTCAATATATCATCATAAAACATGATTATAATGACAAATTATACTCTTTTGTTTCTTTTGTTCCAGATTATGCTGCAGTAAAGGATAAGATGCTTTACGCTTCATCCAAAAACACCTTGATTAGAGCATTAGGTTCAGAGTTTTTCACACACATCTTATTTTGGAACTCAGTTGATGAAGTAAGTTATGAAAATTGGAAACAATCAGCTTCTGGTGATGCTGCTTCTAATTCATTATCAACAAGTGAAAAAGAATTACAGGATGTTAAAGATTTAGAATTTGAAACAGTTGTTAATACATCAACAAAAAGACAATTGGTCAATCATAAGAACGAGTTATCTTTCAAATTCAACCCAAATGCAAAGATCAATCCTGAAGCAAACACATTATATTCATTCAATATCGATATACCAAAAGAGGAAATTTTCCTTTCAAATACTTCATCAGTTTCAACACCAAAGGATTTATTAACTACAATTTCATCAGAATCACCACAATTTAATATAGTTAAATTCAGCACAAAGACATTTTTCATATATACATGTCCTTCAGGTTCAAAAGTTAAAGAACGTATGATTTACGCTTCAAATAAACAAGGTGTTATAAATCATTTTAAACAATTCTTTACAATTGATAAAGCTCTGGAAGCTGGTGATGCAATTGAATTAGAACTATCTGAGTTTGGTTCTGAAAACGAAAATGAAGATTCTTCAGCTGCTACAAAGCCAAAATTCAATAGACCTACAAGACCAGGTCGTAGAAGATGATTAATAATAACTACAATTAATTTAATATATAATTAAAGTGATTATATAAATAATTTCAATTTCTCAACAAACTCCCGTAAACATCATAAATTAACCTTTCAATTCTCATAAATCCATTATTTCTTGTATAACATGTTCATTTGCTAACTGTTCATAATCATAATCTTCATTGCCATGTAAGCATAAATCATATAATATATGACTAACTTTTTTATTTATAGCAGTATATTGATCAACATCAATTGAACCGTCTCTATAAATTGGTCTAAGCTTATCTCGAACTATTCCTTGTAATACATTCTTTTGTTCTAACGTTAGTGTATTGTCAACAAGCGGCATTTTCCAAACTGATTTGTTAGTTGGAGATGTAGGTTCTTTCTCAACGCTTGTAGCCAACGATGATATAGTTTGTTGTGGAGAGGATCCTGCTGATGATGACGCTGATAACGATAGTGATTGTTGTGATGCTGATGTGTTCAAAGATATATTTGACCTTATTTGTTGTTTTGTAAGTGGCGTTTCTCTTTGTCTGTTCTCTTTCATTTGATTTAAAATTGTATTAACAACTGAAGTAGAGGTATTAGGTAATGACGATACTTGTGTATCTGGTATTATTGTGTGATTTTGATCTTGATTCTGTAGAGTTTGATTGTTTGTATTGTTGGAAACACCACGCCTTATACCTCTTCTTGATGGTCTTTTCAATTTTCTAGTTTCTGACGACGTTACTGGTTCATCAGATGTATTGTTAGAGTTTGATGCATTAACTTGTTCAATTTCTTCCTTTCTTGCATTCTCAAAAACTTCCCATGATTGCTGCTCCTCGATAGTCATTGGTTCGACTGTTTCCTGAACTTCCACAGTCACGGGGGAAACTGCTAAAGAATCTCTAAATGAATTATAAACACGATTTGTAACAGCACTATTTCTTGATCTTCTGAATATACTCGGTCTTTCAAAATTGATCTGCTCAGCATCACACATTGGACAATACCAGCTTGTTAAATTTGATGCTCCGAGACATGATAAATGGAATGTTGATGAACAGCTATTGCATGGTGATACATTCCCTCTTCTTGAGTCACACAAAACACAAGTATTATAGCTTGCAATCATATTGTTGATTCTTCTTTGTAAATGATCTTCTTCTTCAAATTGCAACAAAACATCTTCGTCAGTATAGAAAAACTCTTCGACATGTTCAAGAACTTTCTTCTGTGTCTTGTGTCTTGTTAACACTTGAGCATCTTTATCTATAGTCTCAATGAATTCAAAATCACGACGACAAGTGGGACAGCTATTTGATTTATCTGTCCATAGTTTTATACATTCTGTATGATAATAATGGCCACATGGTTGTAATCTGGTAATGAACTCAGATTTATCAATCTGAAATAATTGATCTAGACAAATGGTGCACGCCTCTTGATCCTCACTCATTTCAGATAACGATTTTATGCTACCAATATAGTATGTCAAATTTTAACAAAAACTGTAACTGTGATCAAATAATTTTATAATTTAGGAAATTTGGTATATTGTAGAAATGTATGATTCTCAAAAATATCATAATAATATAGAAACACCAAAAAAACTAAAAATTAAGGAATCAGAAAAATTAAGAATCCAATTTTTTGACATAATTTATCAAAAAATGTTGCCGTTACCATTTATCAATGGTCATGTGATATTGTGGTCCTGGCACTCCTTCTGCCAAATTGTAATCTGTTCAGTAAATTTTAATATGAAAACCATAAACATTATTACCAAAACTTGAAGCATTTTAACGCAGTTTGATAGTGGCAAGCAACTTATCAAGATGTCTCGTCACCAGCTTGATTTGGTGATGTGCTTAAAGCAACCGGGCACTACTATTGGGAAAGTATGTGATAAATGTGATGGTCGTTGCCCAATCTGTGACTCATTTGTCAGACCAACGGCAAAAGTTAGAATCTGTGAAGAATGTTCATTTGGTAAAAATGGTGGTAAATGTGTTGTTTGTGGTAATAACGGTGTTAGTGATGCTTACTATTGTTACGAATGTGTGCTTTTGGAGAAAGATAGAGATGGATGTCCAAAGATTATTAACGTTGGATCAAGTAGAATGGATATATTTTATGAAAAAAAGAAGCAAAAACACATACAGGCATAAATCAAATACTCAAATTCTTCCCATGAAATATTGCTTTTCTACTTTTCCAAGAAATGGTATAGAACCACAGGCGGTTATGTTAGCGTAAGTCGGGTACGTTAGGTTATATGTAATGAATCTAAATTTCATGTACATTCGTGACTTCGGAGATCAATTACAACAGCTATCTGGATTTGAAGACATTATAACAAAGAATATAAATATAAATGAATGCATGTGTATAATGACAAAAATATATTTAACGAACTGAAAGCTTAAATGTATATAATAAACGTGTGTCGAGCAAATTTATTGAAAAGAATGCTTCATCCTCTTGCATCAACAAAATCATCCTCAGAATCATAATCTTCATCAAGGTTATATGATGAATCATTTACCAGAGTTAATGGTGCCCTTGTTGAATAACCTTGGTTTATTTGTTTCTTTCTACTTCTATAATATTCATCGTTTATGAAAGAATCCTCCAATAAGGATTCCTCTTCAGTTCTCATAGAATATGTGTCATCAACTGATAGTTCACGACGTAAGATCTCTGTATAAACCAGATTTCTTTCAATTTCATACCATAACCAGTCTATCTTGATGCTCAATGATTTGAAATGATGAATCAAGTTCTCTCTTGTTTTGTGGGAGAATGGTGCTAATGTTTTGATGTGTTGTATGATTTTTAGATGGTTATGGACTTTGACAAGAGAAGCATTTTTGTTGTTATCCAATTTCAAGATTTTTTCCTCCATAGTTATCGTTCTTAATGGTGATACCTCATGATTATTCGATACAATTTTATCGATAAAACATGAGTCTAAAGCAGCAATATAATTAATACTTGAAATCCATGATGACAATCCTTCAAATGAGCTAGTAGAAAAAGTTTCTTTCTTATTTGTACTGTAAATATCAAAGGTGAAATCTTCTATGGAATTTAGCGGTGAAGCGAATAGTCCATTTAATGAGTACTTTTCTGTGTATCTCAGTATAAAATCCAGTAATATATCAACAATAAACGGTTCATCTCCATAATCACCACTAAAAATCTTTTGTCTCTCAGGAACTGATAAAAAGTTCAATGTATCGAATAAAAAAAATCCACATGTTGTTAAAAGCCCGAAATACTTTCTCCATATAACTCTACTTGTTGAACCAATGGTAAAAAATTTAGAGTTTGTGACAGTTTCTTGCCTATAGATTTCAGAAACTTTAATGACCTTTAACAGTACCCTTTTTCCATATTCAACTTCCTCATCAGACTTGAATTTAATTTCGGTTTTGGATGTAAGCCAATTACAGTCTTTATTATACCTGATATAAAGACCTTTGTTGCTTAATAGTTCCTCTCTCACATTTGTGATGTTTTCAGCATCAAGATCATCATAATTTACTTCTTCTTGTGAATCTTGCTTAAATGGATTTTGGAAATTTATTGAATTCACATCAAGTTTCAAGATCTCTATCTGGTTTGACAAAATCATTTGATATGGATCAATGACTGGAGCTGAGCTAAAAATCTGTGAAGTTGTTGATGAGAATGATTGGGATCTTAAGTTTGGACTGGAAAGGGCAACGGAATTTTGGTTAAGGTTTTCCAAATTATGTGAAGAGGATGACGAAAATAATCTTCTTGGGAGTGTATATAAATTTTGTGGTGAATGCTGTGGTGCTAATTGATATTTTTTCACAAACTTGGTATATATGGTGTTATCATAAAAGTATTCAAGAATCTCTTTAGTCAAAAAAGAATTTGAAGTAGACACATTTCCATCAACTCTTGTATTTCTAACAAAATCTTCACGGGTCATCTTCTTTTTGTTATTGGTGTTATAGTAGTCTGTATGTAGCATAACTAATGAAAATGTTATGAAGTATACTTGATCTGAATTATCCCATAATGATACGTTACATTGATAATACCTAACACTGAAGCTTTCTAGAACTCTGTCAATCTGTTGAGCTTCTGGTGGTAGCTCACAAAACATCAAAAACATCCGAAGGGCAATATCTAATGGAACTTCGTGGAAATCAAACCTCTCTTCCATGAAACAATTCAAACATTCCTTGAGCTTTGGTGCATCTGATCCAGACAATATTGAAGTTATTTCAAAATCAAATCCCTCGTCTTTTAGGGCGCGTATATAGTGTTTTGGATCTTCATCATCTTGCATCGGCGGTGGTGATGGTGGGGCTGATACATTTAAAGGATCTGAATCAATAGATAATGATGTTTGACTAATCGATGCACTTGAATCATAATTTTGTGGTTTTGGTCTCAGCATCATCATACTACCTATTGTTTTGACAATTGATCCATTTCTTTTATGGTAAAGATCGTTCTCCACTGAGCCCATCGTTTTTGAACGCTTCCTTGTAAGATCTTGCTGTAGTCTCAGTGTTGTAGCTGCTTCTTTGACATCTTTCTCGTTACTCTTATCTCTATCATTTTCTGAATGTGATTTGGACAGTTTTGGGCGTTCAATTGACTGTGATTCAAATGGCTGATCAGTTGGCGATATTGGCGTTAAGCGAGTCATATTGCTTGGACCTTGGTCAAAAAACATTGACAAAGTCTTTCTGCGGAATCTCCCAAAAGTAGTCGAGTTTATAGGTTTTGTTGGACTTGGTTCTTTGATAACATGTGTTGTTAATGGAGGGGGTGATTGTGGTTCTGTGATGTCAATTTTTGGTATTGAATTGGAACTATTTTGCGGTTCAATCAAAGGGGAAAATCCATCTGAGCTGTCACTTAGTAGTGATTTTGAAGGGGAGCTGAAATTGGAGACATTTGTAATTTGAGGTGCTTCATTGATGCTATTGGTATTATTGAAGTTATATTTATAATTTGACTTAACTTTTTTTGGGCTTACTGACCTTGATCTTGGTTTGGAAATATTAAGTTGATTTGCTCCAGTTATTAGTTCATCAACAGATCTTTGTCTTCTGTGAAGATTCATTGACGACGGTAACGTAAATATTGACGTTTTTCTAGGTTGTTCTTGTAAATTTGAGGACACTTTCCTCGTCAATGAAGGAGTGCTTTTCTCCAACCTTAGTCTGAGTCTATTAAGCCCTGAATTATTAGCTCCATGTAGCGGTACCTGTTCTCTATCAGACATGATTATGGTGGAGTTCATACCAATCTAGTCTTCACCAAATTCAAACCTTTCTGTATTTTGATTCAAACTAAAAAGATATTGTTTTCTCTGATAGTGCCGACGATAGCGCTTTAGACACAGCGGTAACAACCTATTCAAGCCTATTGGTATGGTCGAGCGCTGGTTGATCTCTTGGTGATCTATAGCTCTGATGTGTGTTTCTTTGCAGCAGATTTGTAAGTTTTGTGTTTTGGCTTAACGCTTGTTTTCAACTCATTTCATGTGTCAATCCATTCTATCCAGTTTTTTGGTTATTTTCGGAAATCACCAAACGACGGGTTCGCGGTGATTATTTAATCACAAAGGGATGTAGGCCGATCACCTCGTTGAAACTTGATACCGATTCAAAGTCTGAAACTGATCAATGATTCTGAAGCTGGGTATCATTAAGTTTATTGAAAAACAAAGAACCATCGCTTGTTGTCTTTTACATGATGTACTTCAAAATCTCGCTCCACTTCACAATTTACTTACTCATGACTACTTTTAATTTGTACTATTCCAATTTCCTACAGAAGCGGTGTTGTACTAACCTGTCTTAGATCATTCTGGGACACATATTGAACAGTTATATATTTTAAATTTCTTCTATATAAGTTCTTATAAACGTAGCTTGAAAGCCTTTATAATTTCTTCCTGAAAATACCTATAGCCTCAATTTCTAGTATCTTTGGAATGAGCTCCATTTTGTATTTGAGCCGCCCCTCAACCAACATGATTCTTTTATTTTGCTGAATTTCCCGTCACATTTGAATCTGTTATCTTTAAGGATAACAATTTGATCTAACTTTTAGCTCTTTGCATTGAGTGATTTTGAAATCAAAACTTCCCAACTGAAAACGATATGAAAGACCCATCAGGTCGCTAGTCTTTGAAATCAGATGATGATTGCCAGGAATTTGGGTTTGATGTTCTAAACATAATGAGTTTCTTGAATGACTTGAGTGACAGTGGCTGTTGCGGTTTCAACAACTTCAATTGTATTGTATCTAGTTATGTAGATATTGACTGGACCAGCAGCTAAGGTTGTACCTAAGGTTAATGTGAATGTTAAAATTGATGATAATTTCATGATGTGGATGGATATAATGAAGATTTCAAAGTATGACAAGGTCTGTTAGTCTGAAGAGCTGATAAAGTATAAAATCCATTATAATAACCAGGAATTAAATAAAATTAGAAAATCATATACCCTTTTATAGTTTTACTCTTTCTTCAATCTCAAAGCTGTTTTGTGCTTTCCGCTGTCTCTGTACAAAGTACTTTATAGCTGAAGGCGTTAATGAAAGCATATAATTACTGTTGATCATGCGTACTTTGTCTAAAATCTCCTTCGATTTCTAAATACGCCTCTCATTTATTTCTAATTCATACATAATATAAAATACTGTTATAACTTAAAGCATACAAATGTATCTCCTTGAAGACCGTTAACCACCCTTAATTTTGGGATCACGCTTAAAGGCTGCAAAAACTAGTGTACTGAGCTACATATAAGCTACATACATCCACTTAGGCGAAAGGTAGCGCCAGTTTAATTCTTGTTAGGTTCAATTATTTTCCCAACTTTACGTAAAGGACTAATGTAAGTTTATTTTGTAGCTTCTCCAGTTAACTGTTTTATTTTACAACAGCTCCAAGATCACACTTTAAGCTAGTGTAAAGTCGAATGTTATGTACATGCTTCAACTTCAAATGCTTCAACTTTCAAGGCAATCTGAAATTTCCGTGCAGTACATAATTAATGTATATTAATGTATGTTATTACACAGGCGAGATGTATGAAGTTTTGAAACGAGAAACACGTAGTAATCTGGAGTAGCCCTGGAAACAAACTGCCCCAGTACACATAGTCATGGAAATGGGTTTTGGTGGACTCAAGTATTCCAGTAATAACGTGATTAAACCACAAATCTACAAAATATCAATGATAAGAACTAGAGCTTAAACTTATTTTAAAACGGAGTTTTGGCGGGGAATGGATAATTTGCCTGGTGCATTTATCTCTTTGGCCTTTCAAATCATCGCCAGCTAACTATAGAATCAAGCTTAATAATCCGAAAAGTCCACAATTAAACAGAGGCATGGAGAGTTCAATCTACCTTTATACAACGTGGCGATGTCTTATAACTTGTTTTAAACTGGTTATAAGTTATAAAGTTATGTGACTTGTAACCTGATGAATATTGATCAACGACCGTTAAATTTTTGTTTCTTCTACAAATTTCTTTTTTCTTTCACCGCATAAGATCTCACAGAATTTTGCATTCTCGCGGAGAAAATCAAAGATTATGTAATCCGATCCAGATTCCAGCGTATATGATCATTGATTACCGTAGTTTTAAGGTGATTTTTTGTAACTCACAGTATGGTTCGAATTTCGAAGCTTCGGTCACATGTATTTTAGCTGATATCTTATAATCGTTCTGTATAACTGTTTTGAATTGGAAGTTGCAGGCAGCACATGACATTAACATCAGTTAAATTCTAATTATATATGTTATATATACGTCGACGTTCAATATTTAAATTAAGATCGAAGATTATATGACCAGCTGAACAGTTACCACTCATGAATATAATATTGGTTCAATTAGAGACGTCTATAAATATTAGTAAATCTGTGTATAAATTGAGTGTAAATATTAATTTGCATGCTAGTAATGAAATAAAAACTCGATTATGAAGTACATGCGTCCGAAGTCACGCGGTTAATTATTTTAAACAGTATTTTAAATTAATTATTATGTTATGTAATATGGCCTTCCAGATCCCAGGCATATATAAGTTGATGAGTAGCTTTATGTTACATAGTTACATGTAATACATATCCGTTTATGCCATGTGAAGATTTGTAATTTTCAAAGCATTCATATGTAAAAAGTCTTTAAAAAGTACACGGAAAATTGTAACTAAAAAGAAGTCAATTAAAATCTAAATCACCACCAATTCAAATCCGAGCTGGTCTTTTGGTATATCTCTAGTACTTGTGTATTCTATGAAGATTATTCTAAGGGAAAATTTCCATCATGAGAAGGGTGTTGACTTATTATAATATAAGCTAAGGCGTACTCAGCTGTATATTATTATTATAAAGTAATTTACAAAGTACGCGAGGCGGAAATATTTTAACCACAACATCGACCAGTTGTAACGTAACTCTATTTAAAATTCAAATCTTGGAAGGAGATACAAGCTAGAGTACATATTATACAGAGTATACAGTTGGTGGCCAGTGAAATTTTAAAAGGTTAGTCAGCTAATATTGTGTAGTTATTAGTTAACGTCTAGTATTTATGATCTGGGCACAATAATATAAAGCAGATCTTAAATAACCTGAAATATAGACGCGACTTATACTTTCATGAAACATAGCAGGATCAAGAATCATTTCCTATATAGGAAGGTTTGGGTTCTTGCCAACGTATGGGAAATTCATTGAGCTTCCACGCTTCATTCTGGAACCCGGAGGGCCATGTTGCCTAATAGTAAGCGTATTCGTACATAAATCTTGCAGATTTAAAAATTACGATGCCTACGATCGAATCGACCTTTTCCTGCACATATAAATCTCCTGACGATCTTTTATATAGTACATACGAGAGTCGATGCTATATAGCCTACGGTCACTGGTGGACTTAGGGGATCATTAAGTTGTACGGTGTACCTGTTTAATAAATTAGTATATAAAAATACTTACTTAATATTCATGCAATTTCCAGTAGAGCGAATATAAAAATGATGTTTGATAATTATGATGGAAGATGAAAACAAATCTGACGTCTATTGACCAATGGTAAAAGTTCGTTACTAGTTAGTGTGTTAACGGTCTAAACTTCTATGCTTTTCCCTGTAGAATGCAGTATATTGTTAATAAATATCTTAACTTTGCAAAACCTAAAAGCTTTCGAGGTTGTGGGTTATCTTTTAGGGCTTGACGAAAACTTCCGTGTTTGTGTGGCTATATATTGACTAGTGTACAAGAGTAGTGTAATAAGTGTGCAACAATTGGTTAGTAGTACTAATAAATTGGAGATTTCAGAAATTCATATATTGCTCTCTAATAAAACGCTAGGGTGGCTATTAAATAGCTATATATATATTGGTAATCAATTATAGAGCGGCCATTGAAAAGGGAAAAGGTTTTTGTCGGCTTTACTGTGCATTGAATAACTCAACTATTTACGTTCTGTACGGCCAGTTAGATGGATTTGAACGACACTATTATCTTTCGAATAATAAATCATGAATACGAATTATAATAAGAACTGGGACTAAAAACCCCGCAAAATATCTATACGATATTGATGAGCGTTGATAGAAGAATTTGTGAATTTGACTTATAACTTGATTTTAGTCTAATTCTCTTAACAGTCTAATAGATGGTACTTAGAATTATATCCATAATCTTCTCTAGTTCAATTTGCTTGAATAATTAGAGTTGATCTGAAGTTTTGTTACAAATCATCAGAAAGAGCTGAAGATCCATGTGACATTTAATGAATGCTATATATTTAACCAGTCTTGAACTTTGATGTTTGCTACTGGTTAATACACCATATTATATGTGGAACTGACACTAAATGGATATGTGCTTTAGTCGATGGAACATCTAACGTCTTGTCATGTTAACCGCTTTGCATTGGGCATCGTAATCTTGTAAAAGTGATAAGTATGTACTTATTAAAGTGTATATCAGTTCATGTTAATGGCGGGTATACTTGAGTCACAATGTATCTGATATATTACAGTACTCTTGATAGTACACACCAGTTCTCTACGAATTTATCAGCTTTAGAAATTATGATTTACTTGTATCAATAAATTAAGCTTAAATTTTTGATTCCTTCGCGATTACTATATTATAAGTAGACCCTGAAATTTATCGAAGCAATTGAATTACAGCGGCTAATTTAAGAAAGTATAAAAGAAAGAAGAACCCACTGTTGCATTTCAAAGTTACTTTCTTTACTATCATCATTTCAATATCATAAAATTCTGGTTTAAAACTAAAGCAAATCATAGAGCGCTCTGTTCAAAATGTTCTTCAGAAGCTTACTGACATTATGTGTCGCAATTATTGTTGTCCAATCGGTTGATACTTCAAAGATCTTACCAACTTACAAACAATTCTCAGAATCTATCTCAGAAAGACTTGAAGACTCCAAAGTTTTACCAGAGTACTTGGGAAGCTGGAAACCATTAGGCTCTTTTATCATCAAATATAAAGATAGTGAAAATCTTGAATTGGGAAATTACTTGTCACCAAATCAAACTGAGAATCCACCAACTGAATTCACTTTCAAATCATTCTTTACATTAACAAAACAGTTCAAGTCTGATTTATACTCAATTGCGCTCACTGATTTAGATCCTGATTATGAAAAGGCTCATGCAATTTGGGAAAACATACCTTTCAATGATGAAGATTTTACAATAGTTGAAAATCAAAAGGATAACGACACATTTGATACCACATTCAACTTGACCAATTCAAGAAATTTATTAGAGTATCTAGGACCAGGTCCAAGACCAGGAACAGGAACACATCGTTATGTTTACATTTTATTTAGACAACCATATGGTAAATTACCAAATCATGAATTGAAATTTAGAGAAAGATGGGGTTCTAAATATTTAGAACATGGAGTTGAAGATTGGGCCAATTATTATGGATTGGAACCCTTAGCTGTTAATTTCTTTACCTCATCTAATGAAGATGATGGTAACTAAAATCATGGGTAATGGGAAGCTCTGAAAGTCTGTAGTGGTCCCCTATTTGCTTGATCAAATTGAGTTAATTTTACTGTTATTTATGAGCTGATATTATAATTAAATTATGACTTATGGAATTGTTAGGAAAATGAAAATTGTAGGAAAGCATGATATGTGAACCTTTGTAAACTCTCTTTCTCTTCTCTAGTTCTGACTTGAATATTCAAAATGCTATAAACTTGCTAATTCTCTGTTCAAAACCTGCAACAGGTAACTATCCCCAGACTTCAGACAATCGGTGTCGGAAACATTAAATAGCTTTCAGTTTCCGAGTTTTTTATTCAATATTCGGTGGTGCGGACCCGAAAGTTGCTGATAATATTCCGAAAATAAATGCCAAAAGTATTAATCACTGGATAACTTAAATTTTTTGCAAATAAGTACCATATTTTATATATTAATAATTTTATTGATTAGAAGGGCTTTAAAGTAATATTATGTATAGCTCTAAATAAGTGAAAAAAAATTCACCCTTTTTTAAAATTATTTAGGTTTAAAATAAAAATAAAATTCTTTTGGTTGACTTTTTTAAAATAAATTAAGAAAATTTATTAAAATTTTTTTGATCAATATTTACTATTTTTATTACATATATAATTAGATATATATAAGAATATCATATGTTATGATAGATTAATTCATTAAAATTTGATGGAAAGTACTTATTGCAGATTTACTAATTTTTAATATCGCCTGATTACATAATATATATTTATTATATGGGATAATTAAGCTGGGGGATAATTAAATATATTAATGTTCGATCTGGGGACCTGTACTAATAGACGATATATATATATATATATTAAATTAAGTCGAATATTCGATCACCATAATTATAATATATAAATGAATATCATATAAGAAATAGTATACTTAATAGTATACATTAGCTAGATCATACGTGTTTCATATTTAACTGATAATAATAGCTGTTGAAGAAATATTACATCTTCACTTCCAGCAAGCTGATTATCAAAATAGTATGTCGATGGTTATGTGAATAATTATTCTGATCAATGATTATGAGACGTATACATGTGTGTTTTTAATGAAAGTGCGATGTGCTATATCATGTCAATAGTATGGTAGCACCTTAACTACAAACTAGGAATCAGACAGATTGGAAATTTGCAAGTTGTAAAGGAGGAGTATGTATATATTTGTTACTAGTGCAAATAAAGATAATTCCCTTGATCGATTAATATATATTTCGTACGTTTATATAGTATAGGAAGGAGCTGCTTTCAATAATTCACCATGTATTTGATTATACATATAGCTGTATTACATGAGATGGTATAATTTTATACTGTCATTATATGATTCTTGCGTCTATCCAATTATATTAATATATATTTAATTATATTAAAATTATAATAGCTAGCTGTGTACGTCTGAATATCAATCAGTTAGAATTGAAGACGTATCAATTTATTTCAAATATATAATATAACTATTTGTAATTAAGGGTATAACCTCTTCCCTTCACAACATGGATGGATCATGATTTAAATATACTAACTATGAAATCATAATTATGTTGAGTGTTTACGTACTTTCAGCGTTTAGCATTTCCTGATTTAGCCTTTTTCAGAAAAAACCGTTGAAACTTGAACTAGAGTACGTACGTACGTTCAACGTTGGTGAACTTTTCTCCCGCAGAAGCGGCTGAAAAAGAAATGTTTTGACGTATCTAAAAGTTTTCGATGCATTTGCTTCCTTAACCAGAAACAGAGCAATTGAAAGCCGCAATCCCCATACTAGTACAAATTCTAGCATGTTATACCTAGATAGTAGAGCTTCTAGTACTACTTTAGGGGTTAGTCTTGAATCTTGACGTAATTTTTGATTCTCATATAAAAAGTTTTCAAATATATTCTAATAAGTTCCATTGATATGATATAAACAGCTTCGATTTGATATAAGGTTTATATAAATGCACCGCATGTAATATATATATAGTCATATTCATGAGTTCAGCTTATAAACCATATCAGCGATCTAGTTGTAATTAAAATTAAGGGTCGACATTAACCGATATTCAAATAATGGATCATGATAGATCGATATCAATTAATAAACCGACCAACAATACTGGTGAGACGACGTATACAATATGATCTCAACACGATCATGAGATTAATCTAACTACTATAATTACATCTTTGACTTATTAGCAGCGCAATTTCCTTCAGCCATATGAAATGAATAATATTTCAAGAGTAAAGAAATATAATGAAGAACGTTCAGCATTTGAACTACCTACTTCATCAAACAGATCCGCAAAACCCTAAGATCTCATGGGCAACGGGATTCGGAATACCTAAAAACTTCACGGGAGTACTGGAGTCTGGAGAGCTAGAACCGACCGAGGATTAAATAAGCGGCAGAATGAAAAATTTAAAACCATAGCAATGGAAATAAAGGATTTGACAAGAGATCTTAGATAGTTAATTAAGGATTATGGGTGATGGATTATAGAGCCAAAAAGGGACAGACAGGTCATGAGTATAGGATAACATTAATAATTATACTAGTAATATATATGGTAGTACTCATTAATGGAGATCAGTAAGGTAATCAGTAAGGTAAGAATTAATGATCATGGATCATGATGAGAGCCCAGGTATATAGCATATAATATATTGAGTCGGCCTAGATAATATAGTATTCCACGAGACGGGATGAATATATTATATTGTAAAATAGCAGCAGTTAGCTGATTGTAGAATTAGAGTACAACCCCTAAAGTCCTTTATAGAACATCTATATAGATGTCACATATATAGTAATACAATACACTCTAGATCTCATGGGATCCGCAAAATCCATTAACATATTGATATCTATAGTATTATACGATCCCTCAAGAAATCCACAAGTACACTACACGTATATACCGTCCTGCCAATAATTGAGCTTAAAGTTATTCAATATCATATATACACTCATTGAATGACTCTTTCTAACCGATAAGGGATTATTGGAAGCCAGTAATTAATGTAGTAGTTACGTTCTAACCTAACTTCCCACCCTTAATATTTACTCGGTCCTTCTTCCAGAAGAGGATATATACCGTCGGATCCAGAGAGCTAGGCCGTCTACAAATAGGAGTTCGGCCGAACAACAAGCCCAGCCCAGCCATGGCTAGTGTGTAAAGGACTTTTTTTTTGGCCGAACAATAATAAAGGTGTAGATTCGAATACTAGAAGTAAAGGGAGCAAATGTGCTACTATAAGATTGGAAGATAAGTGATTTTGGATTAGAAATAGCAAATAAATGTAGTATAGTAACAACCGTAGGTTATTTGTCAGATTAGTGCTTTTAACCAAGTTTTCAAACTCAAATTTCACGCGGTGCGCTTTAAAAAAACTGAAAATTTAATTTCTAATTCCGAAATGCATTTGAAAATACAGCGGTGCGGATGAATCATCATGATGATTAATTATAGCGGTGGTGTATTTATAATAGGTACAGACTTATATATATTGAACTAAATATCCGCTTTTTATCAACATGCACTTCTTACTGACTAAATATTCATCTGACAAATACTTCAACACAAAGGATTACAAATACCTGGGGGAAGCAAATACTATATAAACAGTCAACACCCACAAATAGGAATTAATTCAAGTCATAACAATAAACAAAATAACAACAACAAGCAACACTCAAGTTGATATCTATAATACTACACCAACAATCAAAATGTCTATTTCAGAAACATACCTACTTGCAGGTAAAGCAAGATCTAAGTTGAATAAAGAAGCCGCCAAAGCTGATCCAAGTATAAGAGTCTTAGTATCTCATGCAAATATGTTAGATAACTTAATGGAAGACATTGAAACTTATAAAGAAGAACAAAGAACATCAAAGATTCAACAAAGAAATTCATCTATTTTAACAAATTTCAAACCAACAAGATCATCAAATTTACAACACACTACAACTGTTACATTTGTTGATGATGATGATCTTAGTGATGATGATTTATCAGATGATGATATTGTGGAAGAAGATAATCAAGTTTCTGGTATTAGTTATTCAAGTATTGATTATGATTCAGACTCAGATTCAGATTCAGATGAAGAAGATGATTACGAAGATGAATTACAAGATGATGAAGTTCCATTACCAACACAATCATATCTATATGGATCTCATAACATGAATAAAAATTATAGAAGCTTACCAACTATTGATGAATTAAGTGAAGAAGAATTACAAAATTTAGAAGATGATTTAACAGAAAGTGAAAGTGATCAAAGTGAAGATGAAGAAGAACATGAAGTTGATATAGTTGATATTCAACGTATAACATCACCACCACAATTGTCTTATTCTTCAACAGATGATTCAGAAAGTGAAAGTGAAGAAGATGATTATGAACATGATTCTCAACACAGCGCTAAAGATCAAATTAAAGAAGATAATTCAATGTTTTACAATAAAGGTTTGAATGAATCTTTAGTAAATGTTCCTCAAATGGTTCAAGCATAAGTTCAGAATTTACAATAATTTTGCATTCAATCTTCAATTTATGATGTTACGACTTTTTTCACTTCTTTCATGTCTATAGTTTTCTATTTCATTACGGTTTTTTATTTGGTTTAACGATTGGTTTTAATTTAATTTTTTATGAGTTACGGTTATTCAGGCAATTTGATATATATGATATACAATAATATTAATACAACACTATTTATTTAGAAACTTTCCAATGTAGCGGTAGCAAAAGTTGATTACTTCTGGACCTCAAAACTGAATCAAGTATTCTTTATTGTCTATGTTTTCCTTGAAATTGCTGCTTATCTGTCGGCGGCTAAATGACCTTGTCAAATTTCAGAGTTTAAAGAGTAAACAGATCTGATTCGACTAAAATTTTAGCGTTAATTGCGCGCAATTTTTAAAGTTTGCGTAAAAACCGGAGGTGGAAATGAAAATGAAAAATTGCGATAATTTTGAAATTTCAAAGAGTACTTTAAACCTTAATTCTATGACACTTATGACTTCAGATTAATAAACACAAAACTAGTTATAAGATTAATCATACAAGATTACAACATACAACATATACACAGCCGCCGGCATGTTTTAAAAGTTACCCAGTATTATTATGTGTATAATGAGATGAATCATGTAATATTATAGCACTAGGAAAACTTAAAGTTGAAGACAACTTTTGCTTTAATCTTGACATGATGTCAATCTAGGGGTACATATTTTGAAAATGGTGTACCAAAACAATTTCATGGACTTAGTGATATTTAAGGAAGACGCGTACTCGTTATGTTGATCAAGGATTTTACGCGTCATGGACCCTTATTGTGGTGGCTTGACTTGTCAATTGTGGTTACATTCTATCATCTATGGCTAGTGAAGAGAAGTTAAGAAAGGTAGATATACATATTAAGAGAAAAGCTCACAAAGTCTTAGACCTTCCTAATTGGATCTCAAGTATTTTCACAGAAAAATGAGCACGAATTGGTTGGCTTGAAGGTTTATTCAAACTTCAAAGAGCTTGAAAGAGCTTGAATAATGAACAATGAACAACAATGATATTAATTAATGTCTGCTTAGAATCACAATAAAGGTTACAGTCTCATATTATCTATGAGAATGAAGTGTACTTCATGTTACTTTCTTTAATATTCCAGTTTTCGGTAAGGTTACTTGAGATTAGAATTATGACATATTGTTAGATATAATACCACAAGGTTTAAAATCATATAAACCCATGGAATTGTGCTCTTTACTATTATATCGGTAATGCTAAATGTTATTTGAGGCTTTCCAATGGTCAACTCTTGGTTAATATCTACTACTTCAAAGCTGGGTTTATTCAGCAGTGTGATCTATATAAAGATATGTAAACCAAAGGAAAAATCAAAGAAGGAAATGTGTTTCCAAAAACCAAGACCTGATGGACTATATCATTGCTCCTATATGACTCTTCACATTCACTAAAATCCATATCAAAAGAGAAGTATATTCATACCTTTCAATTCAGGATAAAGTTTCAATAAGCGAAGCCACACTCATCCACACTTCGTTTTTATTTAACCATTGTTTTGCTTCGATATTATAAATTATAAGATCAATAATGATTCCTCAGAATTTAGCATACTTGCAGCTGGCTCAAATTTCAAGCATACCTAAAGGTACACTGAAGTAAGCAACAGAACATGTCTGAACTATACAGAGAGAAATCACAGGCCGAAGAAGAAATTCATTCTTTATCAAATTCAAATAAAAGTGAAGTTGATGATGCTTTTGATATTGCATTGCAAGCTCGAGAACTAGAAATCACAGATGAAATAGAGAAAAGAATTTCAAGCAAGATAAATTGGTATATTCAACCAATAATATTCACAATTTATGCATTACAATATATGGACAAAGTTACGAATGGATTTGCTGGTGTTATGGGAATTCAAAAGGATTTAGGGTTAGTTGGTGATCAATTTGCTTGGTTAGGTACAGGGTTTTATTTAGCTTATTTGATCGCAGAATTTCCAATAGCTCAAGCATTACAAAGGTTACCTTTTGTCAAAACTTTATCCTTCTGCATTATAGTCTGGGGAATAACTTTATGTGCTCATGCTGGTGCTCATAATAGTGCACAGATAATCACAGCGCGTGTGTTTTTAGGTATTTTTGAAAGTAGTATTACTCCTGGATTTGTTATATTGAGTTCTCAATGGTATAAAAAATCACAACAATTTGCTTTTACTGCTTTATGGTTTTCCTGTAACGGGGCAGGGGGAATATTAGGTGGACTGATAGCATATGGTCTATTGCATCATGCCGATTCGTTGGTAATTGAGTCTTGGAGAGTCTTATTTCTTGTCACAGGCTTATTAACAGTACTATTTGGTATTGTTTTTTATTTTTATGTTCCTGAAAACCCATCTAAAGCTTGGTTTTTAACCGAAGAAGAGAAACTTTATCATGTACAGCGTATTAGAGAAAATCAACAAGGTTTTGGGAATAAAAAATTCAAATGGTATCAAGTTAAAGAAGCTTTTACAGATATTAGAACCTGGATTTACATATTTTGGGGACTTGTCGCACAAATTCCAAATGGTGGTCTTGGATCATTTAGTTCAATATTATTAAATCAAACTTTAGGCTATTCCAAAGAACAAGCTTTACTGATGGGATTGCCATCTGGTGCCATTCAAATTGCCAGTGGTATTATAACTGGTTATATTGCTAACAAAACTCAAAAGAGAATATTAGTTGGTACTGGATGCTGTGCTATAACATTTATTGGTATGTGTTTATTGGCGTTTACATCACATCCAAAATCTCAATTAGGTGGTTATTACATTATTCCTTTTTTTGCAATAGGTATTGTCACAATTTTGTCTTCGATAGCATCAGATGCTGCGGGTCATACTAAAAAGGTAACAGTATCTGCTGCATTTTTAGTAGCTTACTGCATTGGTAATGTCATTGGCCCACAAACATTTAAGGCTTCAGATGCACCTGGATATACGCCAGCTAGAGTAACAATGGCAGTCTGTTTAGCCATAGCTACAGTTACTATGTTTTCTTTGTTATTAGTCAACATTCATGAAAACAGAAAGAGAGACAGAAAATTTGCTGAAGATCCAAATTACTATATTGCACCTGAAAATGCAGAATTCTTAGATCTTACAGATTTTGAGAACAAAAACTTTAGATATAGCTATTAACCATAATTAGATATTATAAGTCATAATATCAGAACTCGTTTATGTTGTATCATCTCATAATAATTGTCGTAGGGCTAAATGTTAATCTATTATAATTTTTCTGAAGTACGAGTTAAGCTGCTCAGTTGTCATTATTAGTCGGAGGCAAAGACCTAAAATGGCCTGACTCATGAACCATCATATCAATAACCACTAGTTAAGTGAAACATAGATAACTCCTTAATTGATAAAGCACTAAAGCTTCAGCCTTCAATTCACTCTTTCATTGATCTTGTTATCATGTGAAGTGCTTATCTGGTTATCGGAGTTATAACTTTATGTAGTATTTGCTGCGAAGATCTATCAGTTCACAATTACGATCTGAGAGTAAACTCTACTCCGATACCACTTCTTAGAAGAGATAAGTAATAATATATACTTAAGATGTATTGGATCCTCATTCATGCTAACATTTTAACTTTTAACTCTCTGATATGAATTAACTACAAATCTCTAAATGACTGATTTATACAAAGAAAAATTAGATACCAAGGAAGAGATTCAATCTTTACCTGAATCAACAAGAATCGGTGAAGTTGATGATGCCTTTGATACTGGATTACAAGCTCAAGATCTGGTTTTAACCGAGGAGATTGATAAAAGGATTGGATCTAAGATCAATTGGTATATCCAGCCTATAATTTTTTCAATTTACACACTACAATATATGGATAAAGTTACAAATTCCTTTGCAGGTGTCATGGGAATCCAAAAAGATTTAGGTTTAGTTGGTGATCAATTTTCCTGGTTAGGTTCTGGTTTTTACTTGGCTTACTTGATTGCAGAGTTTCCAATAGCTCAAGCATTACAGAGATTACCTTTTGTGAAAACGCTTTCAGCATGTATTATCATCTGGGGTATAACTTTATGTGCCCATGCTGGTGCTCACAATAGTGCACAAATTATCACAGCTCGTGTATTTTTAGGTATTTTTGAAAGTAGTATCACTCCTGGATTCGTTATATTGAGCTCTCAATGGTATAAAAAGTCTAAGCAATTCTCATTCACAGCTCTTTGGTTTTCATGCAATGGTGCTGGTGCAATATTAGGTGGTTTGATTGCATATGCTCTACTACACCACGCTGACTCATTAAAGTTAGAATCTTGGAGGGTCCTTTTTATAGTTACTGGTGCTCTCACGACTTGTTTTGGTATTTCCTTCTACTTTTATCTCCCTGAGAATCCTTCTAAGGCTTGGTTTTTAAGTGAAGATGAGAGAGTTTATCATGTGCTACGTATTAAAAAAAATCAACAAGGATATGGTAACAAAAAATTCAAATGGTATCAAGTCAAGGAAGCATTCACAGATCTTAGAACTTGGATTTACATATTTTGGGGACTTGTTGCTCAAATTCCAAATGGTGGTCTTGGATCATTTAGCTCGATACTGTTAAATCAAACGCTGGGTTATTCCAAAGAACAAGCGCTATTAATGGGATTACCATCTGGTGCCATTCAAATCGCCAGTGGTATCATAACTGGATATATTGCAAATAAGACTCAAAAGAGAATATTGGTTGGTACTGGATGTTGTGCTATCACATTTATTGGTATGTGTTTATTAGCTTTCACTAAAAACACAAAAGTACAATTGGCTGGTCTCTATCTGACACCTTTATATGCAATTGGTATGGTGACGATTTTATCTCTAATTGCATCAGATGCAGCAGGTCATACCAAGAAGTTTACCGTTTCTGCTGCATATTTAGTGGCATATTGTGTTGGTAATCTTATCGGTCCACAAACATTCAAAGCTTCAGACGCTCCTGCCTACATCCCTGCAAGGGTTACAATGGCAGTATGTTTAGTTGTTATTGAACAACACATTATTAGAATTATAATACTATAATCATATATATCACAAAAAGATAAAAATTATGATCAAAATTGAAAACAATATTAACAAATAAGCTGAATATTCAAAACGAGAATTAAAACTCTCAGGTACACGAATGCACTACTAGTTAAACTAGAGTTAAAGCATTGATTAAGCTGGTGAATCGAAAAAAGTATATATTATTAAAAAGGGTTTCCTATTATAGGGTGAAAGTTGCATGAGAATAGTATCACATTTCACGAGGAAACATACTACAGAGTGTATATACCGATTTATCAATAGACATTTTTATAAACTAAACTAAACTGTTGCTACTCTCACTATGTTTTCATTGTTTTTTATTAATTTTTATGAGAATAAAAGAAGAGATAAGATGTTTGCTGAAGATCCAAATTACTATATTGCACCTGAAAATGCAGAATTTTTAGATCTTACAGATTTTGAAAACAAAAATTTTAGATATAGTTATTAAACTGTATAGTCATAAATAATTAAGAATTATTCATCGTCAGCTTCATCAGCGTTTAATATGAACTCGTAGTTGAATGCAATCAAGTGAATATGATCATCAATTAAGATATGTTCATTAACACTATGCGTGCCAACATCCTCAATATTTGACAAAGTATTGAATTTGAATCTATAAATGTTCTTCGTTAAGTCCCAGTACTTGCTAGTATCTGTATTGGCATTGTCTAATCCTCCTGCAACGACCGATGGGGCACTAGCATTTGGAAACACGTAATCATCTAAAATATGTCTAATGGAACCAGAAAGTACTTCCCAACTTTTGGTATCCAAAGGAGAGACAGGGGATGGTGCTAAACCTAAGTATTTCAGCTCGAAATATCCATTTTCAGTTTTTGGTAGTACTTCAACTTCATTTTGGTAAACCCCAAGATCAAATTTTTTTGCAACTTTAACAACATTACCAATTATTTTATTGATAGCTTCATCTATAGATGAATCAACAGATATCCGATGATTTATAACCAATGTTGAGTATTCTGGTAATGCATTTGCCTTTACACCACCATGAACAATATCAATAGCTTGTGAAGTTTGAATTGAGTATCTGAATTTTTTGATGCCATGCAAGAATTTAATAACTTTAGAATTTGCAACCTTATCATAAGCAGCTTTCAAAATATTCTTTTTAAGGTCTTTATCATATTCATCAGTATATTTAGCAACACATTGAATAAAGTTCAAGAATGGATTATTACCACTCAAAGAGGGGTCAAAAGGTGTTGATTCGATTTCGTTTACCAATTGTGATAAAATACCAATATTTGTATGGTCAGGAGGAACACTTGAATGTCCACCTGGTGTTGTTAAAGCAATGTTAACATTCATTGGTCCCTTTTCAGCAATAGCTGGTACACCAAATGCGACATCATCGATGAAACTGACACCATTTCCACCTTCATCAATCAATGAGAAAAATGAATCTTTGCCATATTTATTGATTAAATATTCATTGATTTTGAAAGCACCCCATTTACCACCAATTTCTTCGTCAAACCCATAACCTAATACAATGGTTCTTCTTGGATTAAAACCATCATGAATTAGTCTTTCCACAGATTGCAAGGTTGAGATCAGCAAAGTTTTGGTATCCGATGAACCTCTACCCCAGATATATTTACCATCTGAAACACCTTCAAATGGGGGATATTTCCATTTACTAATCGTTTCTTGCTCAACTGGAACAACATCTTGATGTGCTGCCAGTAAAATTGGCTTTAATTTTGAGTTTGAACCTTCCCATTCGAATACTAATCCAAAGCCATTTAATCTACTAACTTTCAAATTTTGATAAACAGTTGGGAATTGAGCTTCGAGAAAAGCATGAAACCTGGTAAAATTATTCCACTGTTGTGGGTTGACTAATGGGTCTTCATAATAATCATATGTAACCGTTGGAATTCTGACTGCACCAATAACCTTTTTGATAGATTCCTCACGAAATGCTTTATCTTTGACAATATACTCAAGATGAGTCTTATCTTTCAAATATGAAGACGGTCTGAGGACTTTACCTTGTTCACAAACACCTCTTGATAGTTCTTCAATTGATTCTGGATTGAGTAACTGGGTATAAACTTGAGTAGAGATAAGAGCAAGCACAATAATTGATATGATAGCTGCCCCAAGCCTCTTTTTTAGAGATACCGGTGGCTTGTTTTGTTCACCTAGCTGAATAGACATGTTCGATTTCCACCCTTGGTGTATAGCAATTGAACTAGCTGAGCTCTTAACACATTGAAGTAGTTGTTCCAATGGGTTATTATTTATAAGGAAACAACTGTGGTTTACAAATCATAATTATGTCCGGCCAAAAAAAGTAAGTCTTTATAAACCCGAGAATAATGTGGCTACAATTCCTGATCAGATGTCTTTCATGAGATTAATAATCCTATTATTACATATAAGAAATGAAATCTATATAAACCTAATCATCTTCAGCAGCATCAACGTTTCTTATATATTCATAAGTGAATGCAATTAAGTGGATATAGTCATCGATCAATATATGTTCATTTATACTATGTGTATGAGCATCCAAAATACCATTCAAAGTGCTGAATTTGTATCTATAGATATTGTTGGTTAAATTCCAATATCTGTTGGTATCAGTGTTACCAGTACCCAAATTACCAGCAACGACAGCTGGTGTTGTTAAGTTAGGGTAGACATAATCTTCAATGATATGTTTGATTGTACCTGAAAATACTTCCCAACTTTTGTTGTCTAATGCTGAAACTGGAGAAGGTTCCAACCCTTCACCTCCAAGAAGTGTAAAATATCCATTTTGAGTCTTTTGGATAATTTCTTCATCCTTATAAACAAGGCCTAAGTCAAATTTTATAGCAATTTCTTTCAAATTTCCAATGATTTTGTCAATTGTCTCCTTCAGTGAGGATTCAACAGCAATACGATGGTTTAAGACTAAACTTGTGAACTCAGGTAAAGCATTAGACTTCACACCACCATGAATAATATCAACAGCCTGTGTGGTACGAATAGTATATTTGTAGCCTTTGATACTTGACAAAAATTTGACAACTTTTGAATTAGAGACTTTGTCAATAGTAGCTCTAAAAATACTTTTCTTCAAATCATCATCATATTCATCCGAATATTTTGCAACACACTGAACAAAATTCAAAGTTGGATTCTTTTCTGTTAATAAGGGTTCAAAAGGTGTTGATTCAATATCATTAATCAAATTCGATATAATACCAATGTTTGTATGATCTGGTGGAACACTCGAATGACCACCTGGTGTGTTTAAAGTTATTTGTAAGTTTGTAGCCCCCTTTTCACCTATAGATGGAAGTGCAAATGCAACATCATCAATCACACTAATTGAACTACCACCTTCATCGACCAACGCAAAAAAGGAATTTTCACCATATTTATCCTGTAAATATTTAGAGTTGGAACTAGCACCCCATTTACCACCAATTTCTTCATCAAATCCAAAGGCTAATACTACTGTTCTTCTTGGCTCAAACCCATCCTTAATCAATCTTTCAATTGATTGAAGTTCTGCAACTAATAACGCTTTACAATCGGATGACCCTCTACCCCAAACATATTTACCATCAGATACACCTTCAAAAGGAGGATATTTCCACTGGGACAAAGTTTCTTCTGCAACTGGAACAACATCTTGATGTGCAATCAATAATAATGGTTTTAAATTTGGATCTGAACCTTTCCATTCAAACACTAATCCATAGATATTAGGCTTTGTAACTTCTAATTTTTGATATACTAAAGGAAATTGACTTTCTAGAAACCAATGGAACTTGGTAAAGTTTTTCCACTGTTCAGGGTTGACTAATGGATCTTCATTATAATCGAATGAAACTGTTGGAATCTTAACAGCACCTGATATTTTCTTAACAGATTCTGCACGATATTGTGGATCCTTAACGATGAATTCAATTGATGAGTTGTCTTTTATAAATGAGGCAGGACGTAAAGTTTCACCTTGTGGACATAAATCTTTTGATAGTTCAATGATTGAAGGACCCCATGGGAATTTTGAAAAGATTTGGAATCCAATCAATGCTAATGAAGCGATTGTGAAGAAGGCAATTAAAGATCTTCTTTTGAACGAGCCCCTTGATACCTGATTATCCTCTAATTGAATAGCCATTTTTCTTTAATCTAATAAGTATATCTCATAATCAAGAAGAAGTAGAAGTTTCAAAGGATGATACTTTAAATACTTTTATCTCGAAGCGCCAAAGATTTAGAACTGTGTTATCATTTGACGCATTTGAAGATAAATCCGGATTACTGTGGACTGTGGATATGTACTTTTCTTCATCGGGATTCTTTATAAGGAAAGAATAACTATACAGAAATAGATATAACAGCCAAAAGCAGTTTCATGGCTTTAATATAGAACCGCATTAACAAAGAAAAACAGTCTCAAGTTGACATTGGTTTGGTTCTTTTAAACTTTAGTAGCTGCTACTACCAAATACGGGTAAAGATGTCACGTGATCATCCCGCGAATGCGCTCTGCAACTGGGAACTGAGTTCTCGCGAATTCATAATTTGTAAATCAAGTTCAAAATCTCAATATTAGTGGCAACAAATTGATCAAACTAAGCTTTAAGAATTGTCAATTCAAACCAACATATTAACGTCTTCAAGAATGAGTGCTGCAACAGTGAACTCAGGATATCAATCAGAAACACATTCTACACCAATTGAACACAGATTCAACCCATACTCTGACAATGGTGGTACAATCTTGGGGATCGCTGGTGAAGATTTCTCAGTTTTAGCTGGTGATACAAGACATACAGTAGGATACTCAATTAATTCACGTTATGAACCAAAAGTTTTTGATGCCGGTGATAACATCGTGGTGTCAGCTAATGGGTTTTCAGCTGATGGTAACGCCCTTGTTAGTAGATTTAAAAATCATTTAAAATGGTATCATTTCAACAATAATAAAAAAATATCACTAAGTTCAGCTGCTAGATTTATACAACATATGCTTTATGGTAAAAGATTCTTCCCATACTACGTTCACACAATCATAGCTGGTCTTGATGATGAAGGTAAAGGTGCTGTTTACTCTTTTGATCCTGTTGGATCTTATGAAAGAGAACAATGTAGAGCCGGTGGTGCAGCTGCAAGTTTAATTATGCCTTTCTTGGATAATCAAGTTAATTTTAAAAATCAATACGAACCAGGTACTGATGGTAAAGTTAAGAAAGAATTGAAATATTTATCACTAGAGGAAGTTATCCAATTAGTTAGAGATGCTTTCAGTTCTGCAACAGAAAGACATATTCATGTTGGTGATGGTTTAGAAATTTTAATTGTTACAAAAGATGGTGTTAGAACTGAATATTTCGATTTGAAGAGAGATTAGATTATGAAAAACTTCTACATGTATATTATAAATTGAGAAAAAATGAAATCATAAAGATTGATTTTGATGTAGTTTAAGTTGAACTTTATTTCAATTTCACTTGCATTTCCTCTAATTGTCGTAGCAAAGGTTCTTTATTCTTATCGTCTTTAACCTTAGTTACCAATCCATCGATTTTTCTCCTTATATCACCTCTTACTTGTTCATTTGGTAAATTTTCATTCGTGAAGTTCAACATTGATGTTATACTCGTTGCCACGCCATCATTTGTTTTATTTGGTTTTTGACGTTGTATAGAGTAATTATCTAAACTTTCAATTTCATTCATCAATGATTTCAATTTGACAAAACCATCCCCTTCATAACTATCAAAATTGAGGGATTTCACACTAGCCGCTGTTGGGTCTTGTATTGAATCATTTAATAAGTTTAATGCATCTGAATGTTGATTTTCTTTATTTTGATCTTCCACTATAAGTTTTGATAAATCCAATTCATTCAAATCTTTGAGAAAATCATTCAGTTTGATCAATTCGTAATAATTGTTGTATATGATGTTTTTAATGGATGAATTGATCAAATTTATACTTGATGTCAGTTTATTTGTATCTTTGACAAGATCTTTGAAATCAACATTCAAGAAATCTATATCATCAACTGGTGCTTCTGCAGTTATCTCTTCGCCATCAGAATCCTCATCACGTACTGGCTTATTTTCTTGCTGAACATTTTTTTGTTCCTTTTCTTGTTTTTTCAACTTGTAGTATTCTTTCAATGCATTTCTTCTCTTTTCATTCAATTCATTCTTGATCTTCACAGGTTTTTTATACGATATATGGCTTTCACTGACGGAAGAAGCAGCAGAGGGGGTACTTATTGCTTCTGAAAAGCCTTTTTGGGTAGTAGAAGGTGATCCGGGAGCAGACATGACTGGTTTTATATCTATGTATTATGTTGTTGATGTTTGGTGTGGTTCAGGAATTCTATCTAAATCGTGAAAATCAAAATGTTGAATGGCTGATTTTAAGACAGAAAGTATATACATTCTAAACCCGGGCTATTAACCCGTATTTCTCGAAATAAGAACATGAATTTGATAGCTGAGATTCAAAAGAGATCAATGGATTAGTAGGGAGGCATTAAAACCATCCTGAAGTCTTATTTAAAGTCATAAATATACCAAAACCAGGACTTTATCTGCCAAAAATACTCGGTACATTTTCTCCATACAGAAATATAAAAATTTGAATACAGTAACGGCAAATATCAAAACATCAACAACAAAGGCCTTTTACCAAAGAACCCTCTAAATATTGAAAGAGATAAAGTACTATTGATTGATTCTACAGATGATAACGTCCAAATTGATAAGCTATACGGTATACTAGATTTCCCACAAGAAGGACAAACCACACATCAAAGAGAAAATCCAAAACAATTTTAAAGATTTGTAATGTCACAGTTGAAAACTTCAACGCCGCCACCACCAAATTCTGCTATAGACATCAAATCAAACGGCTCTGAAGAATATGAAAGCGTTTTCAGCTCACAACTTGAAAGATCCAGCTCTAGCTCTTTGACAAATCATTATTCGAGGTTAAGAAGTAACTCACTTTCAGTTCCCAATGAAAAGCCAACAGATCTTAATCCTGCCCCCAATAAGTTATCAAATTCGTTATCCCCAGTGATATCACCTATGAAGAAAGTGTTGAATAATGAAGGATTGAAGAATTTGATTAAAAAAACCAATATCAAGTTGGGATTCTCTGAAGAACCTAAACATGAGCTTACAGATGGTCCTCTGACCAAAACTTTTGAAGATATGACGACTGATTCTAGAATGGCCAGTGATGAAGACCTGAATATGGATGTTCTACATCTATCAGATTCAAATGGTGAAATTGTATTGGAAAGTCCAGAAATACCTGAAGTTTTAGTTAAAGGCTTACCGCTTTTAAAAATCACACATAAGAAAAAAGTGCAAAGAATCTTCAAGGTTGATTTAGATACCGCTATGGTCGTTTGGAATAATAAGACCACATCAAGAATGTTACTTGATAATATCAAACAGATAAAAGTTATGGATGATGCTAAAAATTATAGAGAAGAATATAAAGTTTCTAAAGAGTTCACAAATAGATGGGCAACTGTCATATATACAGATAATTCAACAAATAAATTGAAGGCGCTTCATGTTCTTTCCTTGACTTCTAAAGATCTTGAAATATTTGTTGGAACTTTAAAGAAGTTAGTTTCAAGAAGAAGAGAATTGATGAAACATTTGTCTATCCCAGGGGAAAATTTTGCAAATATCCATTGGAAAAATTATGTTTCAAAAGATACTAAAGAGAAACATTTACTTTCATTTGATGATGTTTTGAAACTTACGAAAAGATTACACATAAATTGTGATGAAAGTCATCTTTTTCAAATTTTCCGTGGTAATGATACAGATAGAAAAGGTGCTTTAAACTTCGAAGAATTTCAAAGTTTTGTTAAATGCTTGAAGGTGAGACCTGAAGTATTAGCCATATTTAACACAGCTACTGGAGGTAAAGAAGTAATGGATCTTGCTTGTTTTATGAAATTTATCAAAGAAGTGCAATTTCAAGATGATTCACTAAGCTATATAGAAAAGCTTTTCAACAGATTTTCCGGTGATGATCAATATATGAGGATTGATGATTTCACAAATTATATCACATCATCTTATCTTTCACCAACAAAACAAGAACCAGAAGATTATAATAGACCTTTCAATGAATATTTTATTTCTTCGTCCCATAATACATATCTTTTGGGTCGTCAAGTTGGTGGTCAGTCATCTATTGAAGGATATACAAAAGCATTACAGCGTGGTTGTCGTTCCATTGAAGTGGATATTTGGGATGGTGACAAAGGTCCAGTTGTTTCTCATGGGCATACTTTCACTTCATCAATTCCAGTTGGTGATGTATTTGAAACTATAAGAAAATATGCATTTATCATTACCCCTTTTCCATTATTTATTTCTCTTGAAATTCATTGTAAACCAGAGTATCAAAAAATTGTTGTTCAGCTGATGCATGAGAAATTTGGTGAAGTTTTGATAACCAAACCGTTGATGACCAATTACTTCAATTTACCAAGTCCCATGGAATTGAAACATAAAGTTCTAGTGAAAGTTAAAAGGTCCATGAGAGAAGATTCAAGAACAAGCGGTAACTCAAGTAGTTCTTTCAGCTCTACTGCATGTGACGAAACTACAAGTGGTGATGAATTACACAAAAATACAAAACCCATTAAAAAGAAAAAAGTTCATTATAAAGTAATCCCAGAATTAAGTGCGTTAGGTGTTTATGCTTTGGGTTATAAATTTACAAATTTTTCATTACCAGAATCTAAAACAATCAATCACATCTTTTCATTCAGTGAAAACTCTACAAATTCAATGATCAAGGATTCAGATAAGAAATACTTGATTGAAAAGCATAATAGAAAATATTTGATGAGAGTCTATCCATCTGCTATAAGATACAATTCTACAAATTTCAACCCAATAAATTACTGGAATTTAGGTACTCAGATGGTTGCTACAAATTGGCAAACATATGATCTTGGTCAACAAGTTAATGAAGCAATGTTCAATGTTGGATCCAAGACAGGGTATAAACTAAAACCACAAGGATTGAGAAATACGAATCAAAAATTCAAATTGATTAAACATGTTGATCAATTTTTGAAATTTTCTATTGAAATTTTATCAGGACAACTATTACCAAGACCAACAGAATTAAAACCAGAAGAAAGTTTAAGTCCATATGTTGTTTTTGAAATGATTGAACCGAATTTAGTTTCTAATTTACAAATTACAGATTTTACTACAAATGAACATTTTTCATCATCAACAGGTTCTTATGCAACAAAAGCCGTGATATCAAATGGATTTAATCCAATTTGGAATACTAAATTTGAAGCCAAGATTAAAGATTTAAGCGGGTTGAATTTTTTCAGGTTAATGGTTAAAACTGGTGATATTCCATTTGCTGTTTATTGTTTCAAACTAGATAACTTGAATCAAGGTTATAGACAAATACCACTTTATGATTTAAGAGGAGAGGAATATATATTTTCCACACTCTTCATTCACGTTAGTTATGAGTCATGTTAATAAATTTAATGATGTTATACATGTATATAGACATCCATATTTTGCTATTCATATATATTCTTAATATTACTGTATTATTTATGAGTTCAATTACATGTACTGAATGTTTTTTTACAAAGACTTCTATTCCCAAATAACTTATTATTAATATTTTTCTATATATGCATTAATTGAATTTATAGTATACAGTTAGATAACTTTTCAAAAATCTATTCAAATTAGAAGACATCAGCCATAACTTCTTCTTTTTGGTTTTCTTCAGTACGACCCGAACCAGCTAATAATTCTCTTCTGATTTCTGGACTTATGTCTCTATGAGGTCTTTGTCTAGTAGTTTCTAATAAGAAATCTCTTTGATCTTCAGTAATATCATTTTTATAGGTTTGAGCAAAAGCTAAAAAGGCCTTATGCCATACGACTGGTAACAAGGGTGCTTCCTTTTTAGATTTCTTTTCTTCTTCATCATCAATCATACTATTATCATTAACAATTCTAAATCTCATGAAATAAAACACTAGATCATCAATGACTCTATATGGTAAGGCATATTTCTTCTCTATAAGAATTCTAATGAAAACTGTATTTGCAGGTGAGAAATCAAGACTTACTAAATAACATAAAGCAGCTGATGAATGTGATGATGGAATTGAAATTTTTGATAAAACTGAACCAGCAATAGTAGCTTCTCTAACGGAAACACCTTCTTGAACTAAAGGAAACAAAAATCCCTTGAAGAAAGCACCTGGTTTATATAAGGCCTTTTTCAATGCACGATAAACATGATAATTTAATGAATGGTCTTCATTAGTTTCAATATCTGATCTAAATCTTTCTAAAAGAACATTTTCAACGAATTTTTCAGCTTGCTTAGATTGTAAATTAGACACAAATAATTTAGTAGCTTCATAAACAACATGTGGTGTCCAATTTTCAGGTTGTGTAACATATAAAACATCTTGCCAGTTATTTAACGATGGAATAACTTTAAAAAGTTTTGGTAATTTACCATGGGTCCAAGTTGAAAGAACTTGACCAATTTGAGTATATGCAGCAATAACTTTTGGTGGTAATAAAACTGCATCTTTTGGTTTTTCAACGGCTTGTTCTTTTTGTTTTTGTTCTTGTTCTTTTTCTCTAATTGAAGCCATGATTTTATCAGCTAAATTATAACTACCATCTTGACCAAAGTTTTTTGAAGGTTGGGATTGTCTCAAATATTCTTCAAACATAGCAGCATCTTCAGCATCGATTTCTTCAACTTCTTCTTCTTCGAAATCACCTTCAGAACCGAAATCGGAAACATTACCATAATCTTCTTCATCATCTTCTTCATCTTCATCTTGTTCCTGTACAAATCTTGAACCAAAAGTGAAATTATCTTGATCTCTTGCAGCTTTATTTTCTTCTTTTTCTAATTCATCTTGTTGTTCTCTGGCTAATTGTAAAATTTTTCTTGAACTTGTACTATCAATAAATTCTTCACCTTCATCTTCTCTATCAGTTTTCTTTGCACCTCTAGCTTTGGTTCTTAAATTACCACCTTGAGTGGTAAGATCTTTATATAAAGGATCGTGACGTTGTTTTTGTCTAGAAGCTGGAGCTTTACCCATTTTAAACAGTTTTGGTTTTGAAGTGAGTTTGAATTCTCTTTGATGTACCTTGACTTGAACTTTTTAGATCACGTAGTTAAAGGTTATATTAAAATTTTTTATTAGCGGCTCATCGGTAAGGGTAACAAATAGTGGTAACCACCACAGCGACGTACCCAAAATTTGGCTGTAACTTGAAATAAACATCTTTAACAAGAAGTAACTAGGAAATGAATGTTATACCTTCTTCAAGCTGCTATTAGGAAACAGCTTAAAGTTTCTACCAGGTTTTTTTCAAGTGCGGAAGATGGTTGTGCGTTAAATGGTATTAATTTTATCAGATGTATTGATCTCGAATTTCTCGCACCGAGAGAACGATGAGCATACGATTCTGGGGCGTTTGGCTCTGGAGATAATCGAATATATCGCTAATATTCATCTAATCAGCCTCCCACTTACAAGTTACTGATCATTGATCATTGAGATTTATATCAGTTCATATATCATCCACGGAAATTGCATTTTCACAGTAAAAAATTGAAGAAAAGGATTCTTGTGGAGCGAGTATAAAACCTAAAAGATCTCGAGATTTCACATCAACATCAACTCCATTATCAACATCAAGATATTTTACCCGAAAGCAAAACAAAATGACATTTGAAATCAATTGGGGTATCGTCGGATTGGGATCCATAGCTACCAAATGGGCCAAGGAGCTTTTAACACCAAATGAAGAACGTCCAACTGACATTAAACATAATTTATTAGCCGTTAGTTCTTCATCAAATGACAAAGGTGAAAAATTTGTCAACTCTTTGAAAGAAGATACCAAAACGGAAGATTTGAACACACAAGTCTATACTGACTATGAAGAATTCCTAAATAATTCTCAAATCGACATTGTCTACATTGCATCACCAAACACTGCTCACTACAAGCAAGCTTTAGCAGCATTAAAAGCCAACAAGAATGTCTTGGTGGAGAAGACTGCATGTATGACTGCTGAACAAGCTGAAGTTTTATACAAATTAGCCAAAGAAAAGAATTTGTACATTGTTGAAGGTGTATGGACTAGATTTTTCCCAACAACTCTTGACATTATTAAATTAGTTAAAGATGATAAAATATTGGGTGGCTTGAAAAGAGTTAGTGCTGATTTATCTCATGATTTCCCATTCAATCCGGCTGATAGAATTTTTGATCCAAAAGCTGGAGGTGGTGCTCTGATGGATTCATTGATCTACTCTTTAACTTGGTCTTTTGCTCTATTGGAAGGTAAACCTTTAGCTGACTCAATTGTCAGTACAGTGACAAAATTGAAGCAGGAAGGTTTTGAAAACATTGATGAAACCACAGTCATCTCACTAGTCTTCCCAGATCAAAATGCAGTAGGTGTTGCATCTGGATCATTAAGTATCGAATCTCCAAATGAAGTATTGATTGAAGGTGAAAATGGTTATATTAGAGTATTGGATAGAACTTCAAAACCAACAATTTATACTGTTAAATTGAAAGAACAACAAAATAAAACTGTTTTGAAAAGTGTTAATGGTACAGGTCTTTTCTATGAAATAGACTCTGTTGGATATGACTTGAAAAATAAAAAGATAACTAGTGATATATACCCATTTGATCAAACTATTGAAATTTTAAAGATCTTCGATAAGGTTAGAAAAGACCATGATATTACCTTCCCAGAAAAGCTTTTACAAATTTGAAAAACGGTAGTGTATAAATATTGACTTTGAATATTCATAAAATGTTATCAAAAGATCATCTAAACTTTATTAATGGTAGTAAAGGTCAGTTCTAAGGTAAAGATTATATTTGATATAGCGAAATGTTTAAAGAGGTACTTTCATTTCCGAGGCCAGATTCACATGACTTGAAATTACCCTCGCATCTCCGTTTTCGGACGCCACTGATCTCGAGGAAATTTTCCCTGGCAATTTGTAAATAAACAAATTTTATGTCAACTCATCAGATCTTAAATATTTTAATTTTAAACCATAAATTCCATTATTGCAATTGAATTATCAAAATGGCTAGATTAGATAGAAAACGTTCATTGGAACCAGAAAATGGTAGATCTACCAAAAGGGTTAAACATACTGGTAGATCTTTCAACTCTTTTAAAAACTTACCAAAGATCAATGAGATCCCAAAGGCTAAAACACAGCAATTAGATATTTTTGTTTTCGGTTCAGGTTCAATGTGTGAATTAGGGCTAGGTCCAGCTGCTAAGAACAAAGAAGTCAAAAGACCAAGATTGAATCCTTATTTGAAAGATAAAGGTATTGTTGATTTTGCCGTTGGTGGTATGCATACACTTGCTCTAGATGATAAAAATCAAGTTTGGTCATGGGGTGGTAATGATTCAGGGGTTTTAGGTAGAGATACTTCAAAAGTTAAAGAACAATTGAAAGATATGGATGACGCTGGTAGTGATGATGATGAGGATGGTGATTTAAATGAAGCTGAATCTACCCCAGGTTTAGTTGAAGGATTACCAAAAGATTTAAAAGTTGTTCAATTAGCTGCCACTGATAATTTATCTGCTGTTCTTTTAGAAAATGGTGAAGTTTATGCTTGGGGTACTTTCAGATGTAATGAAGGTATCTTAGGTTTCAAAAATGATATTACAAAACAATCAACTCCTGTTAAAATTGATGAATTTAAAGAAATAACACAATTAGCTTCAGGTAAAGATCACATTTTAGGTTTAGATACCAAAGGTGTTGTATTTGCTTGGGGTAATGGTCAACAATTACAACTAGGTAGAAGAATATCAGAACGTAATAAATTAAAAACTTTAGAACCAAGAGAATTTGGTCTTGCAGATGTTGTTTATATTTCAAGTGGTGAATTCCATTGTTTTGCTATAACAAAAGATGGTAAAGTTCTTACATGGGGTTTAAATCAATATGGTCAATGTGGTGTTTCATCTGAATTAGAAGATGGTTCATTAATTTCAGTTCCAACTGAAGTTGAAGATTTAGCTGATAAAAAAATTGTTCAAATAGCCGCAGGTGAACATCATACATTAGCTTTATCAGAAGATGGTTCAGTTTATGCTTTTGGTAGAATTGATATGTTTGAAATTGGTATTGCTAAAAAAGATTTACCAGAATCAACATTCAGAGATGTTCATGGAAATGCAAGATCAGTTCCAGTTCCAACTAAGATTCCAAACTTACCAAAAACTAGAAACATTGCCGTTGGCTCTCATCATTCTTTGGCTATTACAGAAGATGGTGTTGTATTTGCATGGGGCTTTGGTGAAACTTATGCTATTGGGTTAGGTCCAGCTGGTGAAGATGTTGAAACTCCTACAAGAATTAAAAACACAGCTACTCAAGATCATGATATACAATTAATTGGCGCTGGGGGTCAATTTTCAGTTAGTGGTGGTGTTAAATTATCCGATGAAGAAACCGAAAAGAGAGAAGATAAATATGAAGATGCTGAATAAATTTGATGTATCTTGTTTATTCACTCGGTGCATGAAAAAACCTTTATGACAACAATATGAAATGAAGATGTATTTTATATAGATGTGTTTAATCAAATCAAAAGTTTATTATACCAAAATTTTATTTCATTATTATTATACATGTATGTAATTACTAATCTATATTTATATATTATTTATCGAAATGAATCAGATGACATTAATCTATAATGTTTCTTCATCTAATCTAGCTTGTAATCCTTGTTCTCTTAAATGAACTTTAACTTGCTTAACAGTGTATTCATCTCTATGGAACATACCGGCACCTAAAGCTGCATCAGTTTTTGTATTTTGGAAAACTTCAGCAAAATGTTCAGGTTTACCAGCACCACTTGAAGCAATAACAGGGATTGAAACTGCAGATTTGATATGATCAATCAATTCCAAGTCAAAACCTGAATTTGAACCATCTTTGTCAATACAATTCAATAAAACTTCACCAGCACCTAATGCTTCACAAGCTTGAACTAATTCATATGCACCTAAATCTGTTGTTTCACGACCACCTTTTATAGTTGTTGGATACCAAACATATTCTTCACCATTTGGACCAGGGAATTTAGTCTTGAAAGTTGTGTTCTTAGTATCTTGTGGTGTTTGAACGTATTGTCTTTTTGGATCGACTGAAATAACAACAGCTTGAACACCATAAGCTTTTGAGATAGTTTCAATCGGGGTAGTACCATCACCTTTAGAGCCATTTTCATAATATTTCTTAGCAGCAATGACAGCATCTGTACCAATAGAAACTTTATCAGCACCTGATCTGAAATATAATCCAGCAACTTGTAATGCTGGAATTTTAGTTCCATCTGGATCAACAACATCTTTAATACCACCACCAACGGTTAAAGGAACGAAAATTGTCTTAGCGGCTAATTTTAAAACATCCAACATTGGTTGATCTGCAACTGGTGAGTTTCTAAATGAAGTTATATTCAAGAATGTAACTTCATCAGCACCTTGTTTATAATATTTTTCAGCTAATGAAACAGGTTTACCTAAATTCTTAACATCACCACCTGCTGCATCTTTTTCACGAACATCATATTGATCACCTTTTGTAACGACAAGATCACCTTGATCATTAGTTCTGACATCTAAACAAGCAATGACTCTTCTTGTTAATCCATTGTTCGAATAATCATTTGGTGATGTTAATTTTGGTAGATCTGAATGAGTTTCTTGATCTAAAAATGCCTTTATAATTTTCAAACCTGCAATACCAGATTTTTCTGGATGAAATTGTGTAGCAAAGATATTTCCTTTAGAGATTGCTGCAATGAATTCTTCATCACCATATTTGGTAATTGCAATTTCCCAACCATTTGAAGCTAATTTTGATTTTAATTCATCGTTTAAAATAGCAGCATAAGAATGAACAAAATAATAACGATTATTTGGATCAATATGATAAAGCATTTTATCCCCCACAGCGGAAACAGAGTTCCATCCAATAGCAGGAACAGATTTTGTCTTTGAATTAAATTTGGATAATTTGAAATCAATAAATTCTAAACCTAAATCATTTGGACTTTCTTCTGAACCTTCAAAAAAAGCTTGTAAACCAACACAAATCCCCATTATTGGTCTCCCACTAGCAATATATTCCTTTATTGGTTGAACAAACCCCTTGGAACTCAATTGGCTAACGAAATGACCATAATTACCAACACCTGGTAATAATAATTTAGTAGCAGATTGTAATTCTGGATCTGTACTATCTTTAATCAATTTGGTTTCATACCCAAGGTATTCAACTGCATTTTGTAAGGAACGAAGGTTCCCACTTTCAACGTCGATGATATGAACGATATTGGACATTATGTGGCAATATTGGGGGTGTATATGAATATGTAAGGATAATAGAGTAATAGAACCAAGTTCAATCGATGGGCATGGTATCTATCTTCACTATTATCTAATATTTTTCAGCATTGACTCAGACCCGCGAAAAAAAAAGATTATACCCATTATATCAGTCATCATACATAAAAGATATTGATATCTTATTTTGATTCAAAACAGTATATATCTACGCTTTGTATCTTGTATTTTTTCAATAATTTATAGTATTCTAACTTTATACAAATTGTGTTTTTTTTTCATTCAAGAAATTAGGCCTTGTTTTTCAAAGATCTTCTAGTCTTGACAGCTTCAGCCAATTCCTTCAACATATCAACAGTGGTTTCCCAACCGACACAACCATCAGTAACAGAAACACCGTATTTCAAACCAGCTTTACCTTCTTTTGGAATGGATTGTTTACCTTCGTTGATGTGTGATTCAATCATAACACCGATTAATTTATCTTCACCATTGGCAACTTGTCTAGCAACTTCATGAGAAACTTTTGGTTGATTTCTGTAATCTTTGTTTGAATTACCATGAGAACAATCAACCATTAAAACACCTTTTTCACCTAATTTTTCTTTAGCTTCTTTAACTGAAGCTTCATCATAATTGGTACCTTTTTTACCACCTCTTAAGATAACGAAACAGTTTTCATTACCTCTTGTAGTTGTAATGGCAGCAATACCATGTTTAGTAACACCCATGAAATGATGTGGAGCAGAAGCGGCTTGAACAGCGTCTAAAGCAACACCTAAAGTACCATCAGTACCATTTTTGAAACCAACTGGGAATGATAAACCTGAAGCTAATTCTCTATGTAATTGAGATTCAGTGGTTCTAGCACCAATAGCACCGAATGAAATTAAATCAGCTAAGAATTGTGGTGAGATGGTATCCAACATTTCTGAACCAATTGGAATACCTTGGTTTGTTAAATCACAGTATAATTGTCTTGAGACTTTTAAACCTTTATTTATATTGTAAGTAGAATCTAATTCTGGATCATTAATCAAACCTTTCCAACCAACAGTAGTTCTTGGTTTTTCTAAGTAAGCTCTCATAACAATAACTAATTCAGTTTCTAATTCTAAAGATAATTTTTTTAATCTTTGAGCATAATCTAAAGCAGCTTCTGAATCATGAATTGAACATGGACCAACAACAACTAAAAGACGATCATTTTTTTGTTGAACAATTTCAGCAGATTCTCTTCTACCTTTAATAGCAGTTTGTAAAGAGAATTTTGAAGCTGGAACATCAGATTGTAAAAGAGCTGGTGACATTAATGGATCATAACCGACAATGTTTAAATCTTCAGTTTCTTCTGGAGCTGGAGTGGTAGCTTTTGGTTTATTAAGCTATATGATTGCATGTTAGTAATGAATTCCATCATCATTTTGAATTGACAAAGTATTCAATCAAGGACTTTAGCTCATCTCCAAGTTTCAGAGTCAAAATCTATTATCAATACTTCATCAAAATATGTCCCGAGAACGAGAGAGAGTGTGTGCAGAAATACATACTAAATCTTGCATTGAGGCCATTTTGTATAGTGTTGTATGTAATGAATATAACAATCAAATATAAATAATTGAATTTAAAATTCAAGAGTTGAAATATATTACAAGTTTAAATAAGAATCGAAATATTCATGAGTAATAAATATTATGTCTTTGTGCTTTATTTTTTCTTCCAAGATCGTGGGCCATCGCTCTCGCGGCAATTTGGTGACACGTATCAATAATGACAGAAAGCATAATCTAAGATAATTAAAATGTGGAAAAAATCGATTAAAACGTCAGAAATTCAGCGTAAAAACTGGCAAAATTGATCCCAGAGATACTATTTACCCATATAAACATACTAATAACGATATATATTACCATGTTGTATCTCAAATAAAGCCATCTTCCTTGTTACCAAGATTCTCGATTCGAGACCGCAAAGCTGAAAATTTTTTTCATCGACGACTTTGTGGCCTTTTGAAAAAATATTAGTCATTTTGAAACTGATTGGGAGTTTAGGGCATGTTTTGTATTCATTGGCCAGTGAGTTTATGGGCAAAATCTGGTGATAATGGTATGTTTATGTGTCTAATATGAAGCGAAGAATAAGTCTGCACATGTCAAATTGTATCTGGATTCGGTTATTCCTTTTAGTGTGTGTTTATAGCACGAATTAACCTTATTTAACCTTCAATTACCGCTCGCACTATGGACTATGGAGCCAGGATTCCCGTTGCTTATGTAATACGCGGTAAGCGTCGGTTATTGAAAAATTATACGTGTAGTCGTGTAGTAAGTATAGTTTTATTACTTTGAAGTTTCTAAATGCAATTATTTATTAATTTTATTGAAATCAAATGTTTTATATATAAGATGCTATATTATCCATTACTGCTAGGATGCGTAGTACTTCTTTTCCCATTGGGTAGAGACGATATAGTATCATCAATACTTCGTTTCATTGGTGATTTGGGTATATTGTTATTATTGTTCTTTCCATTATTATTATTTGATGATGATGACGGTTCTGAATTCTTAACTTGTTGTATTGATGGATGTTGTTTCTTTTTCCAGTTTTTCAAATGATCTCTATATGCAGTTATTAAACTTTGAATCATTTTATTATATATTATATCAGGTAATGTATCAGGATCTGTTTTAATTAAATTTTTATCTTCGAATTCCTTTTGTTCTTCTGTTGGTTTTTGATTATTTAATGCATAAATGAAACTTTGTGGTAATTGCTTATCATCAATACCAGTTTCTTTACCTACTAATACAATCATTTTTTGATAATAAAGATCCAAAACGTTATAACCGGCATTTTTTTCATAAAGTGGATTATTATCTTTATTTGAACTTGAAAAACTTTCATCTGATGTTGTCCCAGTATTATTACTAGTGGTATTAGTCGAACTTGTTGGTCCACTGCTTCCTGGAGGTTGTGATTGATTTTGATTTTGATTATCAAATTGAGTTTGAGCTTGTTGTAATTCTTGTTCAGTTTTCAATCCACCTTCTAATTGATCAATAGATTTTTTACGTTCATAAGAACTAACAATTCTATTTTCATTTGCACATCTTTCAATATTAAAATCTCTGGGAAGAATTCTATAATTAACTTTTGATAAAAATTCTCTCTCCAGAATATCTAATTCATTTGCTTGAATACCTCCAACTTTTGCATAATGACTATTTGTACAAAATGAATCACAAAGTCCCTTTGACCCCACTGTAGTTGCTGTGAGTAAAAATCTATGAACAGTTAATGAATTCAATGTAAATGAATTATATACAGTTGATAATAAATCAATATAATAAACAGCAGCCAATAAAACAGCATTTTCTAATGATGAATAACGAGCCAATCTTGCCAGGTAACTATAAACTGAAATTCCTGGTGGTGTTCTTGAATGGAATCTTGTTAAATTTGACGGTGATAGATTTGAATCATTAAAATTATCATTTATAGAAATCAATGAATTTAACATCCTAGCAATCAAGACTATCAAATCATCTCTTGAACAATGAACAAAATTTTGTGGTAATGTTTTGATTTTATCACTTTCCATATTGTTGGATTAAATCTGTATTGTATAATGTGTTGTATAATATATGGATGTATGTATAAATAAAAATTTCTTTGTTGAATTGAAAAAAAACTAATAGGAATTGAAATATATCTTGTATATAAATGAAAAATATGAAATGAACTTGATTATTGTAGTTTTATTATTAGGTTTGATAGTTGTAATAATTCAATGAAAGGTATAAATATCATAATTGGTCATAAAGGCACACACGTAACAACAATAATAAATTAATGTCTAGAAAGAGTTTATATTGAATGATCCTTGATGAGTATGGATACGTGTTATATAGAATGAGATGAATATGAATCCATATATGTTAATGAAATATGATGTTTTGAAATAAATGTCTGTTATGTTTTTTTTTTGCCCAAGTGTTGAAATTTCTTCTTTGTTTCTTTATCAACGATGTTTTTTTTTGGTTGTTTTATTTCTAAAGATTTTTCCGATAATGATAATTTTATTGGAAATTTTGAAACTTTTGTGGCTTTTTAATCCCTGTTTAAAGTATGAAATTGATGATTTTGAAAAGCTTTTAATGAGTTAATGGACAAGTTTGAAACTTAATTAATTAAAGCCCACGTTATTAAAGCACAAGTACTTAAATTCAAGTGTTCCCAGCAATTTAGTTGATCGCTTTGGTGGTTAATTTGCAAACTTTTTGACAATTTTTCAAAAGTTTCGCGAAACTAAGCTGCTAATCCACGTGAACTTCATCACCGGGCATGTCACCTGGCATGTCACCAGAGCTACAACGAGAGTATATTATGATGACATAAATTAAACTACTACTGTACTGACTTTAACAAAAATAATTAAATGAGGAAAAAAAAAAAAACACACTCAGGATGAAACACAGACAAATTTGAAGAAGAAAATGTGGAGAAGAGAAGAACAGATTATTCAACATGCACAATTGTTATTTTCACCATCCAATTGAATGTTAATGGCATCGTTAAATTCATCATTAAACTCATCGTTTTCTTCTTGTTGTAATGCATTTCTTGCTATAACATCAAATGCTTGATCAATATTAACAGCTTCTTTAGCACTTGTTTGAAATAAAGGTAAATTACCTAAATTATTTGCAAATTGTTGAGCTTTTTTATTATTTATAACTTTTTTATTTTCATCAACATCAACTTTATTACCAATAATAACAAATGGGAAATTTTCTGGATTTTTAACATTTGCTTGAATTAAAAATTCATCTTTCCATAATGAAATATTTTCAAATGATTTTTGATTTGTAACATCATAAACTAATACACAACAATCAGCACCTCTATAAAATGCAACACCTAATGATTGAAATCTTTCTTGACCTGCTGTATCCCATAATTGCATTGTAACTGATTTATCATCTATAGTTAATTCTTTTGTTAAAAAATCAGCACCAATTGTTGCTTTATATTGATTACTAAATTTCCCATTAACAAATTGTTGCATTAATGAAGTTTTACCAACACCTGAATCACCCAAGATGATAACTTTCAAAAGAGTTTTCTTCTTTGATGACATTATTTTATATTTTTATATAATTTGATATTAAAAGAAAGCAGCCAATATTTATAATAAACTTTGCTAATTCAAACGACGTGATCAAGTTTCCTTTCGAACAGCTAAAAAGAATCTATATGGAATATATGACAATGAAAGTAAGAACAACTAGCAATCGTTACCTTTTACTAACCCCAAATAACCAAAAGCCAAGTCCTCTTTAACTACATTTCCTTTTCAATTTATTTGTGGTTGGTTATCAAAATTACAAGAAAAAAACACACACGACGTGGTTCAATTCGCGAAACATTTTTGGTGGAATGTTGCACAGCGCAAAAATATTCCTATACGCTATTTTAGTTTGTATTGATAACGAAATTCCAACAAATCTACAATTAATAATTATGTGAATTTATATATTAACAAGTTAAAAACATAATCCACATTTATACCTAATGATAAAAAATAAGAATTAAAATAATAATAGTGAAATTATCAATCAATCAACTTATTTTTTAGCGGCTTTTTGAGCAGCTTTGGTAACTTTACCATCTTTGTTGTCTTTTTCAACAGATTTGATAACACCAACAGCAACAGTTTGTCTCATATCTCTGACAGCGAATCTACCTAATGGTGGGTATTCGGTGAATGGTTCAACAGCTAATGGTTTTGATGGGA